AACCCTTAATAACCCCCAATTATAAAACCACCCCCCCACATAAATTTTTGCCCACGGGCCACTTTTACATGCCCGGGTTGGTTTTTTTAGGGGGGGGGGGGGGGTTAATAAAAAGCGCCTCGAGCAAGGTTTGTAGAAGAGTAAACGAGCTACACTCTAAAAAAAAGTCGTAGATTAAAAAACTGCCAATCGTTTTTTTAGACTTGCTAAAAAACCGTTCACAGTTTTTCGTTGAAACTAAAAAATCCAAACTAGTATTTTGTTCAGTAATAAACCGAGAGTTATTTAGCCGAGAGTTTTTTGGTTAAAAAGAAAGATTATTAAAAAACCATCACTAGTTTTTAATTGATAATAGAAAATTGACACAGTTTTTTATTTTCCGTAAAAAACCATTTACTTTTTTTTGAAAATAAAGCTTATAATAAAACGAGTTTTTTGATAGGTCCAAAAAAGTACGTTAGTTTTACATTATTTTTAAAAAATCATTGTCGTTTTTTATTACAGTTGAAAAACCATACATTTTTGTAAGCAACCGAAAGGGTTATTTAAGTGAATGAAGAACGGGATAAATTTTTTCATCGAAATTAAAAAACGAAGTAAAAATCTAGAAGACTTATTTTCATTTCATTTTAAAAATGGAGGTGAGTCATCGTTTTTTATTCTAATTCTGAAATGGAGTGATTGACGTATTATGTTGCCAATTCTTTATTTGCTTGTTGACACATATACAGAAAACCGCTTGCGACGGAGAACGAGTTTCTTATTTGCTTTAGATTTCTGAATCGAGAAGACTTCACGAATTTACTGAAATTTGTTTTTTTCCTATTCGTTAGGTCGCCAGTGAATGAAAATACGCACAGAAAATGAGTTTATTGGTATGCACGGGATATTTTAAAAGTGAACGTACAGACATGTATCACGTGTTAAACATTTTGAAATATGATTATCTTTCGTTTCTAAAAGGTTTTTGGCTTAAAGTCAAGTCCTTCACGTTATTTTGACGTAACACATTGATGCACACTAATGGATGGTGTACTATCGAGGGTTTTCTGTCGCAACGCTGCTTAATGCTAACATTATTAGCATATAAAAAATATAAACAAGATCACTCTTTTTCTATTCAATTTTTGACCGCTTCTCTTTTCACATAAGATATCTCGTGTGCGGACATTTTTTCGTCTCAGCGCGTCGACTGAAACGAGAGAGAACAGAAAGATATGGATGTGCAAAAAGAGATATCTCCTTCCACTAGTAACGAGGTTTTATGCATGTGTTTTTTTGCAACTGTACGGAACGCTTTTCGGTTTTTTAAACCCTTGTCTCAAAAACCCTGGGTTATTTAATATATGTTCTGTAAATATATAATCGATAAAAAACCCTTTCCAGTTTATTACTCTATTCTAAAGGGTTTTGACTCCACTTAAAAGGTTTTTGACTAGTTTTTTGATGGTTTATTGTGCATTTTGAAAAATGAAAAAGCGTTCGTGACAGATGCAAAATGAAAAACCCGTTTTAGTTTTTTAATCTACGACTTTTCTTTAGAGTGTATACTGATTAGTAAAAAAGAATTTTTCCAATGAGCTTTCCATCCCTCAATAATTGTGTTTTATCGTCGTGACGCTGTGGCACACGTTTTTCCCAACAAAGTATGGAGCACTAAACATTGCCCAAAGAATTTCAATTTCGCATCAAACTTAGGTTTCGTCATCTAATATAGACTAACGTGAAAATAAAGCTGAAAAAATATTTTCACTTTCTTAGAATTGTGTGAGAATCTTAAAACTTAAAACTTTATTAAAAAGCTTGTTTTGACCATCTTGTAGAGAATCGAATTCTCTATCGATTAGTGTGGCCTTCCATTTTTATTAGGAAAAGTGTCTAGGTGAAGAAATTGAAAATACAGTTTTCAAAAAATATAAAACTGGACTTTCGATGCCAAAATTTAACTTTTTAAAAAAATAATGTAGATTCGTAATCAGCGCCCAAAACTGCATTTAGTGATATGCTCCTTCCAGTTCAATTCTAAAATAATTTTTTCAAAAACTTGCACACCGAAGTCTCGAGTTACGTGGACGAGCCATAGAAAACTGAACCGAATGAAGCAACGATTAGACAAACGAACAATTCATAATATGGATTAAAGTAGTAAAAATGGAATATTATATAAAAATAAAATCACTTTTTAAAATAAAATATGAGAAGAATATTGATTACCAAACAGAATAATGAATATAAGAATAGATTTAAAATTCGTAATTTGTCAAAATTATTAAATATTAAACGTGCTTCTGTAATACCTGCAACAAGACTAGCAAAATTATCATCTAACAATATTACATCAGCTGCTTGTCTACCAATATTATTTCCAGATATACCCGTAGCAAAACCAATATCAGCTTGTATTAATGCTGGTAGATCACTAGCACCATTACATGTAACAGCAACAGTATGTCCTTGACGTTGACAACCTTCAACTATCATTAATTTTTTTTGCGGCGTTGCACGACCACATACAATTTCAGAATAATGTTTTAATATATAATCTATATCATCGGATGGCATAGTTTGTAAATCATTACCATGTAAAACAACAGCTTTAGCTTCATTTGGATCAATATTCGATATATCTGTATGTAAATGTTGTGCTATATCTTCAATTATTTCTGAATTTTCAGATATAATACCAACAGCTTTAGCTATAGCTTTAGCTGTTTTAGGATGATCACCAGTAACCATAATAACTTTAATACCATCTGAACGACATTTACCCACAGCATCAAATACAGCTGCACGTGGTGGATCAATCATAGACATCAAGCCTAAAAATCTTAAATTTGATGTTGGAAAATTGACACTATCAATGTCAAATATATAATCTCTCGGAAATTGTTTTAATGGCAAACGCAAATCACAAAAACCTAATACACGTTCACCTAAGCCCTCTAACTCTAAATATGCACGTTTAACGCTATTTTCCCAAAAATCATCTAATTCTATGTCATAGCCATCATTATAAATTCTTACTGAACGTTTTAATAATGTTTCAGGTACACCCTTCATAACTAATAAATATCTTTCATCACCATCATTTGTTATATGTATACTAAGTTGATATTTATTAGTTGAATTATATGGTATTTCGAATATTTTACGATTTTCTTCGCGAAAGTTTATAACATTGCCCATAGATAATTCAACACACCTTAATAATGCTGCTTCACTAGCATCACCAATACATTCACGTTGAAACACAGGTTTTCGTAAATTATCAGGATCTTGTCTAAAATCAGCACGATTACATAACATTGCACATCGACATAATGCCAACCAACCAGGTGAACGTTTATCATAAGTTGTATCTTAAATAAAAATAACAAGAAATCTAAACTTTATATGTCAAATGTTAAAATTTCTCAAAAAAGTATTTATTTTTATATAACTCTACATTTAAGAGAGGCGCTCTAACCTTTTCTCTCCCTAACACTCCTCTAGCTTTGGCATTTTATCTGAGAGATTTAGTAAGGTATATTCTCAAATAGCTGGTAGATGGGTCAAATGTTGTAGTAGTAGTGAAATTTTACGAAACATCGATTTTGCTATCCATCATGAGAGAGGATCAAAAAGTAATTCAAGCTCTAAAAAGACTGTCAATAGAAACGTTGTCCATTATACCTGTCTCCACCATCTAGCGTTGTGTTTCAACTCTACAGCATAAATGCATGACAAGTTTCTGATATTTTTTGAATCCTAGTCACTTCTATACAGAAGTTATCCTTGGAAAATAAGCTAGTATAGAGTTATAACTGAATTTTTACTAATTGATCAAATTTCAATATAAATTTGGTGTTTACAGCCACTGAATTGACTAGTAACAGACAGTGTATTATTGATCTGATGTTGGTAGAGACAAATTTTAAAATTATCACCATATCTGTCCATATGAACAGAAAAAAAAGCTATTAATTAGAAGTTTCTCTCGTACGCTACTATTCTTATTTAACTTCCTTCTATTTATACATGTTCTATATTGTGGTCCAACAGTTCAATAGGAAGTTTTCACATTTTTGCTAGAAGCAACGATGGCAAGCTTTTTATTCTGTTTCCATTCCATGTTTACGGTGATTCGGATAAAAGTAAGTTAATACCGTTTTGTTTCAAAAACGGGACTGGAAAAAAAGTAACCATTAGATTCTATCATTATGTATCGATAAGTACCTAGTAGTACTAGAAAATATAGGTTCTAATAATTGAAACTTTCTTTTTACTACTATTGAAAGTTTTTAAAAATCTTTTAGTAGAAACAATTAGGGTTTTTCTTTTAGTAACGTTGTTTTCAAAAGTAAACTGCAATATAATAAATGATAGTTTTTTAAAACTTTATATTTCCTCTACGAAATTTGTTGAGTCTACACGCGCGTTCCTGCCAAATCGTACTCTTGAGATCGTGCGTGACTAATATATTCGTTCATTTCCGACGTGCAGTCGAGATCATGACGTCTACCTTATTCAGATCATTGACTTCACCAGACATATGATTGCTTATCACAGACAAGGAAATAAAGTATTATTGTAGTTCTTTAATGCCATAACTCTTTAATTTCTCGAAAATTTGCTTGCGTAATAGCCCCACTGTGCTAAATCAGTTAGTTTACTAATTTTTTTATCTCAAGTATAAACCATCTATTAAACTGATCAGACCTTACCTTACTTTGTAGAAAATACAAGGTTATTGTAAATGTACTTAAATAAATTCAGGGCTAAAAGCTATCGTCCTAAATTTAGGACAACTTATTAGATTGCGGCTTGATCATGTAAATTTATAATATTTGTCTAATAATTTTCCCCATAACACATTGTGCTCGGTCATGCAAAGCATTAGTTTATAATTGCTCCTAACACATTCACCTCACCAGCACACCGCATCATAAAATAGCACATAATTTAATAAAGAACAGTAAGAAGAGAAAGAGAGACACCTGAATAATTGATATTGGTGGTGAGACACTATCAGAGGATAATTAAACGAAAACATAATTATTATTACCAACATTCTTGTCATAAGACGAACAGCCGATATTTTCATCAGTTTTACAAAGTCTTACGTCTTATTTAGTATTTTATCAATAGTCTCTATCATGCAGTTCGCTCTGTCATATAGCATAAGAGAAATATTTAAGAACAACATTTCAACGAAATGTGGGCTAACAAAAGTTTCGTCTATGATCCTAGTCAATTTTCAGTGACTATAAGGACTATAAGGATAGCGAGTCAAGATCATTGAATTCAATATTGATACGATCAATATTTTTCAAACATTCTTTCTACCTCCAAAAAATAAATATTATTTTTCCTAAAGCTGTACTGTTCATATTTATTCATATTTATCCGTTGTGGTAAGAGTCACTTTTTGGACTGTGAGGTTATTCGAACTCAAAGTGGTGTTAACTAACCAGTTTTCACTTAGAATATTCAGACTTTTATCCATCAACTAATAGAATATTACTGACGAATTGACGTTCGAAATATTGTGACACAAATAAAAATACGATCTTTCAGAAATTCGTTTTTATGCCGTGATTATTGAACGGGTGATATGTGCGCAAACTAAGACAACTGAATTAGATCTCTTTAGCGATCCTTATTCACGCCATTTGTTTGCTATCAGAATCTTGAAAAAATAAACCTTGTATCAGTGGTTCGATGCGAAACAACAAAAGAGTTACTTCACAATCGTGTACGAAGAAGAGCTACAAAGTTTAGATTTTTAGTATTTTATAGAGGCGACTTATGGTCATAGAAAGTTCAATATATATATTTGGTGTAACTTCCTTAAACTTATTGAACATAGTTAAGAGTTTGTTAAAAATTGTGAATTGTAAGAAATACAAATTTTTTGAGTTCAATCATCATCAAGTATATATTAAGTACAGAATGTTATACTCCACTTACTTTAGACATTCAGCTGTATATAATATGCATATTCATTTTCTTCTCTTTCTGCTCTCTAAAAAAAATCCGTAGCTTACAAAACGAATATCGGTTTTGGCATTTGCTCCTAATAGAAACCGATATCCGTATCGTACGGTCCTGCATAACCGTTTCGCAGAATACACTTCACCGTTTTTTGCCTTGTGAAAAAACGGATTTAAGTTTTGTACCAGAGAAAAAACGTTGAAACGTATTCTGCGAAACGGTTATGTAGGACCGTACGATACGGATATCGATTTCTATTAGGAGCAAATGCCATAACCGATATTCGTTTTGTAAGCTACGGATTTTTTTTAGAGAGTGCTGGTGTATAAAAGGTAGTAAATACTTTTCTTCTTACGAAAGTTGGAGAATGAGAATGATGTTGCATATTCATGCATAGATGATTAATCAAAAAGCTGAAAAATATTAATTAATAATTTAACTTTGTCAGACATACTTTTGAACTTTTGCTAAATTTCAACTCTGTAGTTGTTTTTCAATATTCTAAAACTAAAAGAAGAGTTGACTTAGTAAACTACTAAGCAAAGTAAGCTTCCAACCAGCGATAGTCTGTAAAGGGAAACCATCCAATCTTGCTAGTTGTGAGGAAACTTCATCGACTAAGAGCTCCTTGATATCTTTCTCTCAGGAGAAGAAACTCTGGTGACTAATAACTCTTTAACGAACAGTTACACCCTTGTGTTTCCCGTCATACGTGCATGATTACATGGTCAGTAACAGAATAGTATATAGACGAGTGTGAAATTAGACAAATGTATATTCTTTCAGAATATTTCCTAAAAATTTCTTTTATTTTAAGTTTTACTGACGGTTTTTACCAAAAACCGAACGAAAGACGCAGCAGTAACGTCAGGATCATGTACTTGCAACATCAAACGCGTGTTCACGAGTGGAAGTCTTTACACGCGTACACAGGTGAACTAAGCGTGATTATGTGTGAAAAAATCTTGACCATGGTGACGGTCCATAGCAAGGAGGAAACAGCAGACTCCAGTCGTATGGAGTCTCGTGGAGTCACGTGGAATCAGTTGAGACGGTCGAGTCTCAAGAAATGTATCTTAATTTCTTTAGATGAATCAAGTTTTCTTAGTGGATTTGCATCAAATAGTAAGACGTTTGTTGATTTGGATCATTCGTAAGTAGAAATTGACATTTTGCTGT